GTATAAAACAATTCAACCCCAACATCAGGGTATGTATTGAACCTATCGCAGTATAAAACAATTCAACCCCAACATCAGGGTATGTATTGAACCTATCGCAGTATACAACAATTCAACCCCAACATCAGGGTATGTATTGAACCTATCAACGTATAGAACAATTCAACCCCAACATCAAGGTATGTATTGAACCTATCGCAGTATAAAACAATTCAACCCCAACATCAGGGTATGTATTGAACCTATCGCAGTATAAAACAATTCAACCCCAACATCAGGGTATGTATTGAACCTATCGCAGTATAAAACAATTCAACCCCAACATCAGGGTATGTATTGAACCTATCGCAGTATAAAACAATTCAACCCCAACATCAGGGTATGTATTGAACCTATCGCAGTATAAAACAATTCAACCCCAACATCAGGGTATGTATTGAACCTATCGCAGTATAAAACAATTCAACCCCAACATCAGGGTATGTATTGAACCTATCGCAGTATAAAACAATTCAACCCCAACATCAGGGTATGTATTGAACCTATCGCAGTATAAAACAATTCAACCCCAACATCAGGGTATGTATTGAACCTATCGCAGTATAAAACAATTCAACCCCAACATCAGGGTATGTATTGAACCTATCGCAGTATAAAACAATTCAACCCCAACATCAGGGTATGTATTGAACCTATCGCAGTATAAAACAATTCAACCCCAACATCAGGGTATGTATTGAACCTATCGCAGTATAAAACAATTCAACCCCAACATCAGGGTATGTATTGAACCTATCGCAGTATAAAACAATTCAACCCCAACATCAGGGTATGTATTGAACCTATCGCAGTATAAAACAATTCAACCCCAACATCAGGGTATGTATTGAACCTATCGCAGTATAAAACAATTCAACCCCAACATCAGGGTATGTATTGAACCTATCGCAGTATAAAACAATTCAACCCCAACATCAGGGTATGTATTGAACCTATCGCAGTATAAAACAATTCAACCCCAACATCAGGGTATGTATTGAACCTATCGCAGTATAAAACAATTCAACCCCAACATCAGGGTATGTATTGAACCTATCGCAGTATAAAACAATTCAACCCCAACATCAGGGTATGTATTGAACCTATCGCAGTATAAAACAATTCAACCCCAACATCAGGGTATGTATTGAACCTATCGCAGTATAAAACAATTCAACCCCAACATCAGGGTATGTATTGAACCTATCGCAGTATAAAACAATTCAACCCCAACATCAGGGTATGTATTGAACCTATCGCAGTATAAAACAATTCAACCCCAACATCAGGGTATGTATTGAACCTATCGCAGTATAAAACAATTCAACCCCAACATCAGGGTATGTATTGAACCTATCGCAGTATAAAACAATTCAACCCCAACATCAGGGTATGTATTGAACCTATCGCAGTATAAAACAATTCAACCCCAACATCAGGGTATGTATTGAACCTATCGCAGTATAAAACAATTCAACCCCAACATCAGGGTATGTATTGAACCTATCGCAGTATAAAACAATTCAACCCCAACATCAGGGTATGTATTGAACCTATCGCAGTATAAAACAATTCAACCCCAACATCAGGGTATGTATTGAACCTATCGCAGTATAAAACAATTCAACCCCAACATCAGGGTATGTATTGAACCTATCGCAGTATAAAACAATTCAACCCCAACATCAGGGTATGTATTGAACCTATCGCAGTATAAAACAATTCAACCCCAACATCAGGGTATGTATTGAACCTATCGCAGTATAAAACAATTCAACCCCAACATCAGGGTATGTATTGAACCTATCGCAGTATAAAACAATTCAACCCCAACATCAGGGTATGTATTGAACCTATCGCAGTATAAAACAATTCAACCCCAACATCAGGGTAAGTATTGAACCTATCGCAGTATAAAACAATTCAACCCCAACATCAGGGTAAGTATTGAACCTATCGCAGTATAAAACAATTCAAACCCAACATCAAGGTAAGTATTGAACCTATCGACGTATAAAACAATTCAACCCCAACATAAGGGTATGTATTGAACCTATCGACGTATAAAACAATTCAACCCCAACATCAGGGAAAGTATTGAACATATCGCAGTATAAAACAATTCAACCCCAACATCAGGGTAGGTTTATTGACGAGAAGGCAGAGAAACTACTGGGCCACTTTGGTGTCATTGACAGTCCGCCTCCATTGAGATCAACTCAAGCAAAGTAACTCACTTTGATGAGGTTATAATTATAAGTAGTGTAACACTCCATTGTCTATACAAAGTATGTAATATCTTGAATCGGCAATCTAAACAACAACATTGTTTTTAACAACGTATGAAATCAGCTGCTTAGAATGGCCACAAAGTGTCATCAACAAACAAATATCACAGGCATCATTAATGACGCACTAATAGTTTCAATTCTAAAACGTCTCTTTTATGTTAGTATTACCATATCATTTCTACATGTCTATATCATGAGTCACATTTACATGTTAACCCTTTCACCACTGTAGACCATAATGGACTCATCCAGATAAAAGCATGGAAGAGTTTACTAAAGTTACATAGGGTTGAAGGATTAACCCTGATCAATAGCACCATATTGCTCAGTTGTCTAATTCTTTTTGACTAGCGACTTTAACCACTGCTATATATCACCCTTTTCCATAAGTGAATCTTTGATGTTATAAATTTACATTTCTATATCCATTCAAACCTCTAATACTTACCATTGCTCTACATCTTTCCACTGCAATGCATTGAGAAATGAGAAGGCAAATGTTGTTGCGAGACTATAACAACATTTGCTATCGTAACATCATCAATATCTTTGTGATGTCATCAATTTCATTGTTGTCAAGACTTAGTTTTCTGTTCAAAGAACTATTCGAAATTAACAAATAAAGTGTAACTACACTATCAAAATGTAAATATAAATGATGAATATTTTAGCAAATATTGTTATGGTCCTATAATACACATTTCTATTGTTACAGGTAACTCGGGAAACAAAGCACTATGATAAGGCATTAGAAAATTATGGTCTGGACAGAATTTCAACACTGATGTCAGAATTTTTAAAAGCTTCCGCCAAACAATGGTAAGTAGCATGTCTTCCTGATTTCTGTTTCCATCGGACTAGCGTGTGGTAGATCTGTGATCTGGTATCAAGTTGGTGATCTGATCGAATCTGGAAGATTTCAGCATCGTCAATTCCAAGATAACGAGCAAGAGTTTCAAATTCTTTGCCAATTTTTGCTGATATTCGAGTGAGTTCCAGATCATCTGGAATAGCATTCAGCTGTCCAAAGTTGAGACACATTAATTGGTCTCCTGTAAAAGAAAAAAAAATCAAGTCAATGAAAAATAACCTTGATAATATTAATAATCAATTTCATTTTTTAAGAACTGAAAATTAACAAGCAAATTCATGGAATTTATATCCCCTGCTTGCAGGACATATTGTAGGTTAACATTTTAGAGGTTAGGTTTAAACATGTGAGTATCGTGCTATTGAGACATAATGTATAGCTTGAAACTTGAAGAAAATAAAAGCCCTATATCTCATTGATTATCCGTAAATATGCACAAATCACATTGGTTGGCAAACTTAACATGAGTTAAATGTGCATAAGGAATTTGGTTGAAACATCTTTGCACATAAGGAATTTGGTTGAAACATCTTAACAAAATCTACAGCAACAAGTACTAATTGTAATGGGGGACCATTACATATGTCCCCCAAACTGCCCCCATAGTCGCAAAGATGCATCAGAAAAGAATCGCATTTTGCCATAGTACACCTACAATGTACATACTAAATTTGAGTGAAATTGAGCAATTTCTAAATTCCAACCAAACAGAATCCTCTGTGTAGTTGCCATGGCAACGGAACGTACGCCATTGCATTTGCAGTCCCCTAATATCCCTATATACCAATTTTCATCGAAATCAAATAATATCTAAATTGCGACCAATCACAAGCCTCCGTGTAGTTGCTATGGTAACGAAACCTGTGCGGTTTTATTCGCAGTCCCCTAATATCCCTATATACCATTTTTCACAAAAATAAAAAAATATCTAAATTTCGTCCAATCAGAAGTGCCTCCATTTGGTTGCTATGGCAACGAAACCTATGCAGTTGCATTCACAGTCTTCTTATACCCTGTGACACCAATTTTTATCAAAATCAAGCGATATCTTAATTTTCACCAATCAGAAGCCTATGTGTGGTTGCTATGGCAACGAAACCTATGAGGTTGAATTAGCAGTCCCCTAATATCCCTATATACCATTTTTTATCAAAATCGAACAATATCTAAATTTCGACCAATCAGAAGCCTCCGTATAGTTGCTATAGTAACGAAATAAATGCGGTTTTATTCCAGTCCCCTATTATCCTTATATACAATTTTTCACAAAAATAAAAAAATATCTAAATTTCGACCAATCAGAAGCGCCTCCATTTGGTTGCTATGGCAACGAAACCTAAGCAGTTGAAATCACAGTCCCCTTATACCCCCAGATACCCATTTTTATCAAAATCAAACGATATCTTAATTTCCACTAATCAGAAGCCTCCGTGAGGTAGCTATGGCAACGAAACCAATGAGGTTGAATTTGCAGTCCCCTAATATCCCTGTATACCAATTCGTTTGAAGGAAAATCGGGTTAACAACTGTTGTAGTTATTGCACGGAAACGAAGCGCGGCAGATAATGCGTTTCATTATTCAAGGGGCAATAACTCCGCCAAATGGGGTCCGCTGAAAGTGGTCATCGACTTGGCCGAGCCCTGAAGGCATTTAACCCTGTGACCAAGTTTGAAGAAAATCGGTTAACATTTGTTGTAGTTATTTCACAGAAACAAAGCGAAGCGTGACGGACAGACTTGCTTCTGCAAATTAACTCTGAATGCTCAATACAACTTTTTTTCAATAAGTTTGATTTATATTCAACTACATGTATATGTTAATAAATTTGTTACTAAATTCACACAAAAAAACGGCTTTTATTTTTCTGACATCATTTGTTAGTTTGAAATCTTACCTTTGCTTTCTGGATTGATGTCTGTCGCTTGTATCTACAGAGAAATGGTTTTATGTTTAATCATTAAAGTTTTTTTTATTAAAATATAATTAATATTCCAGATACAACATTGTAGAATAATATATCAGGGTCTACTATGGTAAAGACATTAAAAGTTGTGAATGTAACAAAAATGTTAGTGTGATTTAATTTTAAGGCCAAACAATTAAGATATTTTGAGTTTACGGTAACCTGCCTACCCTTATTTTTGTGTCTACCCTAAAAAAAATTACGCAATTAATTTTCAAAGAAGCGCTGTAAAAGTCAAGACCACTCTAAATCTCCCACATAAACTTAATGAAATTATTTTTTACTTACCTACATCCAATTACACTGTACTACACATTTTTCAAACATATAACAGGAAATAAACTATTTTTAGCCTAATGTTTGAGCAGGTTAAAACTAACAATGAGTACTGAATAATGCCCCAGACTTCCATTGTCCTATATAGCTAGCTATTCTATATAATTTTTCTAGTATTCTGTTTATAAAATGAGATGCTGTTGGCACTGGAGTTTCTAACATCAATGGACTTGCGATTGGTGACAAAACATTAACTAATATTTTTAATTTATACTAAATTTGTATGGAATTGAATTGGCCTCCAATTATTATAAAACTACATTAATATAGTGACAAAACCTTGATATAATGCCCCTCTTTTCATATGCCACCTCACATATCGCCAACATAATTCAAGGTCCGTTTTTCTCCTTTTCTTAAGCATTCCTTTATGTCTTTCCCTCAATTTATTGCCAAACCCCTTTATACTGCAAACATTCTCTGAACAAATGGTGGCAGTATAAGGTTTTACTATATATCAATCACAATTTTTGCAATGTTGAATTTGTTCTTTTGTTTAAGGGCAAAAATAAAACAGGGCAGTACGACCTGGTTTATAACATATTCAAGGAAACCATATGTTATACTATTTTGTTAAGGTGGGGGTTTGATATGATACACTCATATTTATTAGATACATGTAACTGGGTTTTATATATTATGAAAATTGAACTTACTAACCTGGAGAAAATGTTTAGAAATATGGGTTGTATATATGTATAGGTTATGGGTTAGCTGTTTTAATCAGAGTAAAATCTGTTTTTATTAGCAGGGTTATATATTTGAGAGGGCTGGGCTATCTTTTAAGTGATTAGGACTATCTCGATCAATTTCCCACAGTTCTACTGTATTTTTTATTGAAGAGGAGTACACACCTCATCAGGGTACCATGCCTGTAGGTGGCGCTGTCTGTTGATGGTGTGGCTTCTGTCATGGCCATGACACGCCACCTCTTCCCCTCCAGATGTTAGATCCTCCACAGGCAGCATGCCCTCGTGGGACAGAAGACGACCTTCCTCACATTTCAAACTCAGTGTGAATGGCAGGTTCATGCAGTATCGGCCAAGAACACGCTTCAAGGTCTCCGTCACAAACTTTCGTACAGAAACACACATAGAAGATTCTGGTGAAGATTTTGCGCTGAATCTGAAAAGCCCTATTTGGATGATGTTGTCATAAAAAGTCACCACTAGACGTGTCAGGCCACGATTCAAATCGAAGATCCCACATCCACAGAACATCAGGTACTTGGATCCCTGTTTAGCGACTGGGTATTTGGACAGACAGGCAGCAAGGAGACGATGGAACACAGCAGGTGGCAGGAAATTGTTCTTGAAGACATAACACAAGAATGGGGTTCTGTTCGTGCAAGGAACAAAGTCGTTCATTTGGCATTCTGTAAATTTGCCTTGCAGCAAAGATGGCACAAAGTAGAATTCTTGCAACGTTGGCTGACTTGTGTCAGCATCTTGGTACACAAAGGGGCGACTAAGGATGTCAAGACGTTCCATCAGACCCAGTATATGCACCTTGTGCAGACAGAATCTGTCCTCCTTTCTGAAAATTCCCTCCACCATGCACTGATGAAGCCTTCCAGTGCTGTTGAGGTCATCCCAGTGCTGCACCAGAGCTGGGTTATTGATGCAGAATTGTCGGGCTGTGATGATACATTTGAATGCGTCTATCAACCACTGTGGGTTGAGAACTATGTGATCCCGCAGACAACCTTCACTGAAGTAAATCATATTCCCTATGGCATGCTGGAATCGGAGGAACAGATCTAGTTTCTCCTTGTCATTGATTGGAACTCCAGTACTTTTGTCTAGCTCTACAACCTCTTCATAGGGCATAACACTGACCCCTTTAAGCTTTTGCTCCATCATTGCTTTTTCCAGAGCAATCCATCTGGCCGGAATCTTTTCTCCCCAGTATTTTTGCTTGGATGCAAGTTCGACAATTTTCTGTCGAAGGCTTTCAATTTCCTGTTCATCAGGTGTGCTTGAAACTGTGTAGTCTCTATCAATCAGGTGACGAGAAGTGGGCTTATTCAACAGAGATTTCCTTAGTTCTTCAAAGTAGTATTTTGTCTTTTTTTCAGTGTCTCCCTTAAAACAGAAAAGACATAATTACATCAATATAAACTCATGTAATGGCTTAGGTTATGCACTTTAGTCTGCACGACTAAAATTGATATCTTGATTCTTGAAATCGGGGAATGAAATATCTACAAAATTTTGATAATTTGTTCACCTCCTTCCTCTAATATATCTATTTATTTATTTCAATTCAACAGACCCTAAGGTCGAGTAAAAGAATTGATGTACAGTATAATATATTTATAAAGATATACCGTAAAACCCCATGTAATTTGCGCAGGTACTTTTTGAGGATGAAAATCCCCCTAAAAGCTTCTACTTGAATATTTTGTGCACCAAAAATTTTTGAAAAAAAAAAGTTCAAGTTCCGAAAAATGATCTCTGAAAATGAAAGACAAACCGCTTGCATTTTGGGATTCTTAGGATTTTTGTAATTTGTTTATTATAAGTAAGTTCATAAGTATTGTTTACAGGTACTATGATGTTAAAACTAAGAAGAAACTGCGTAAAATGTGTATTTTGTTGTTTGTTTCCTTTGAAATATCTGAGTAAAAGAATTGATAACAACATGTACGTTAAAATATAGTTATAAAGATATAAGCAAAAGCACCAATAAATGTTGAACAAAAAGAGGCTCAAAAAGTATATTTTTCAGTTGGTTCTTAAAAGTTGACAGCGTGGCACATAATATCTAAATTATAAGTAAATCACATGATAAAGTTAAGATATCTTTGGCTTCTCGTGAATAGGCTGTTAACTCATTCACCCCTGAACTTTCATAATACACTATTCCAACCTTTGAATTGGAAGAGTTCAAATGTGTCTTCAGGGGTGAATGAGTTAAACATTAAGTCTGCAAAATGAGCTGTAAACTAAATTTATCACATAATGTCTAAGATTTCGTCCAGGTAACAGACTTAGTTAGATAAGGACAGTCAAAGAGGCTAGGGACACATTTAGTAAGGAAAACAACATCTACTATCAATATGATATGTACAGTTTATACATTGTTTATCATTGTAAGGATGGGGCTTTGCCTGTCGTCCAGTTCCAGCTACTGTAGATAACAGTTTTACAACAAAATATCATCACTTATACATGGAAACTTTATAGCACTCTGTCCCAGATACCTAGTGGCCAAATATCATGACCCTATACTAGGTCCTCCAAGTCTTAAGATGAAGATTTTTAAAGAAAACGTTGACGGACAACACAACATACTATAAGCTCACAGGCACTTCGTGCCGGGCAAGCTAAAAATTATACAAACTTTGTTGAAAATATTTTGCTCATTATCTCAAAAACTTAACACAAAAATAAATAAATAAACTGCAATATGAATCTTATAGAATTTAATTTGTATACTGTATACAGATTGAGGTTAACATGGTTTATATAAGGGAGCAATCAAATTACGGTACCTCAACCTTGTCCAGGTGTGTTCCAACAAGTATCACAGGTGGCAGATGATCTACACTATGGCTGTATGTGTGGACAGAGTTCATCCAGTACGACACCAAATCTGTTATACAACAAATAGTCTTATAATTAATATATTGTAAATACAAAGCTATGAAACTTGAATCAATTCACCTTTCAAAAAGCGATAACGAACTTTAACTTTTTGAAATATACGATGGCCATCTGGTAGCCATCTGGATGTTTTGATCAGTCTCAAAAATGAAAGCTTAAGGGTAAAATTTTAGAGACCCCTGAAGCTCCAAACTAGTGAGAAATAGTGGTAACAAATGTTAACTATTAATATCCAAAATGGCCACCTTACAACAGTACAGTGACATCGTAATAATATATTACTCATATGTAAATTTGTTGCAGAAGCATAGTCTGTGTGCAACATTAAATATTAATTTTCTAGTTGCAATACTTGCCTCCAATTTTCATTTCCTTGCACCCAGTGGCATCTAAAAAGCATTGGTCATTATCAATAATGTCAGTGAGGCTTTGGTCAAGCCTGGTGACCAGTAGATACACAGCCCTGGGGGTCAGGAATGTGTGGTGGGTCGTGTAAAATACAAACTGTCCTGCAAAGTCCCATACGGACAACTCTCCATAGTTCTGCAAACAAAATACATTAGTCATACAGTATATATCAAAGTCTTACAAACATCTTTTTTGCCATGGGACACCTACATTAGACTTTCCTTTATTATTTTCTTTGAATTTTTAAAGAATCCTGAATATTTTTCTGAAGATTTCTGTATTGGTTAAAGAATGTTTTTATCGAAAAAATTCTTCTAATTTTACATTGACTGAATTTTGAAATTAAACCCGAACTATGTTAACACATTCACATAGCTTCACTCACGGATACAGGATCAGGGCCTAGTTGTTCAATCACTGTTTAATAACATTTTTCAACAACCTGTAATAATTCCGTCGATGTACTGTGTAAAAGCTTGTAATTTGGCATAAAGCTACAGAAATTTGGTCCCCATGATACCCGACCCGAACCCGGTCCCCATGATACCCGACCCGAACCCGGTCCCCATGATACCTGACCCGAACCCGGGTACTTGATATATATGACCCACACAAAGCGTCACCGTTATTGACAGGGTTCTATTAGAGGAGAAACATGCATTATAAAATCCACAATATGTGTGTTATGCTTTGTTGACGAGAGTATCATATTAATTCCTGTATAAACTGATATGTTTTTAAACTGTAAAACGATAAATAAACACTTGCATGTTAGGTAACAAACATTGCGGTAACATTTGCTGCGGAGCTGATCAGCGTGTAAACATATGAACTGCACATGTGCAACAGGAGGCAAGACAAGCACACTACACACGGAGTGAATACAACACAATGTATTTATGTATTTTCTGAGACATAATTTGCTGTCATGAGAAATAAAAATGAAAACAATGTTGCATGGGAACATGTTGCTATACAATTAAATGATGTCCCTGTTGAGTGACAATAAAACACATGTCTAATATATCGACAATTTTTCATTCTTCATGTTAGTTATGGATATATGGATGATGATAGCCAGTTTTCTATTTTGACAGGTACCTGGGGCATGGGTACTCAGGCACTCGTAAAAACTTACTTTGACAGGTACCTGGGTTTTCAGGCACTCGTAAAAACTTACTTTGGCAACACAGTTAGTGTTTTGAAAGTTTTAAATCAAGTAATGGTTATATTTTCGAGATACAAGAAAAAGCAAATTTGCATTAATCACAGATTAACATTACCACCGTTGAACACAAAGGGCCCTGAATGTTAAGAAGAAATAGGAGAGCTTGCAGGTTTTTTTAAAAAAAATATTTACTACGCATACTTCATTTTAATCAAATCTACTTACCATATCATCAAGATCTGCTATGGAATCTTTCTGAGACATTACCAGATCTCTCACGGTCTTGAGGAAAGGATCGTCTCCTGTCTGACCTTCTGTCTGACCTTCATCACTAGCACTAGGCTCGAATTTTGCTTTCTCAAAAGCACGAACCGTTTGCAAAAACTCTTTGCATGACAAGAATGAATCTGTTTTGGTGAAGATTTGTGAAGGGGAGAAAGCTTCAGTACCCATCTTTGTAGGAGCATCATTGTCAGATTCATCAAGACTGAAGCTGACATCATCAGATTTTGAAGCATATTCTTTTGGCGTAAATGTCTGGTCCGATGAATCATCCCCTGAGTTGTCATGATCATCCGCTGTCTTTGGATCTGCCTCCCCAGAAATAGCTGATATTTCATTTTTAAGAGAATTGGAGCTCTGCAATAACTTGATCAGTTTTGCATCACGGGTTTTACTTGCTTTTCGCATTTCTGGGGAAAAGAAAAATTTCCTTTTAATACATTCATTGGAAACAATAAATACACTTCAAATTTCTTAAATTAAATTAAACAAAATGAAAGCTTTATGTCAGCTTTTGAATGTACACACTTAAAAATGTGTTTTAATGGTCACATCACTTCACCTATTGAATCGGAATGAAATTTTGTTACATGTTTTAAAATTTTGTTACAAGTTTTAATCTTATTTAGCGAGTTAATAATGATATACCAGTGTCATCGGTGACCCAGCTATTATCGTGGAGGGACACAAAACTGCTGTGGATATCAACTCCGTCAGTGCTCAGTATTTTCGCCTGGGGTCTGATTCGCGGCAGTCTCAGAAGATTGCGGGTGAGTGTCGTCTTGCCAACCCCTGTTTGACCAATCACAATCACCCGTATATGATAGTCCGCCTCCTCTTCCTCCTCCAAACACTCCCTGTAAAGCTGTATGGATCGCTGGTCCATCTGGAGGATCTCCTCTGGTAAATCCTCCTCCTCTGTAATACAACGCTTATCGGTAAAATCACACAGTATGACTAATGTATACCAGGAATGGATCTATTTTCACCGAATGTTAATTTCACCGTTCTCATTTAATTACGATGTTTATTATACCGCTACTTATATTTATTGTAATGATAAATTCTCCCTCATTACAGAGGGCGATGAAGTCGAAAAGTAAACTGTAGCGAACCTTTCCCAGAATAAAGTATTTTATCTCAATGGACAACACCGGTAAATGATATCTGTCTATATAAACTCAAAGGACACCACCAGTAAATGATCCCTGTCTATATAAACTCAAAGGACAAGACCGGTAAATGATATCTGTCTATATAAACTAAAAGGACAACCCCAGTAAATGATATCTGTCTATATAAACTCACAGGACAACACCGGTAAATGATATCTGTCTATATAAACCAAAAGGACAACACCAGTAAATGATATCTGTCTATATGAACTCAAAGGACAACACCAGTAAATCATATCTGTCTATATAAAACCACAGAACAACACCAGTAAAGGATATCTGTCTATATAAACTCAAACGACAACACCGGTAAATGATATCTGTCTATAAAACTCAAAGGATAACACCGGTAAATGATACCTGTCTATAAAACTCAAAGGACAACACCGGTAAATGATTCCTGTCTATATAAACTCAAAGGACAAGACCGGTAAATGATATCTGTCTATATAAAACCACAGAACAACACCAGTAAATGATATCTGTCTATATGAACTCAAAGGACAACACCAGTAAATCATATCTGTCTATATAAAACCACAGAACAACACCAGTAAAGGATATCTGTCTATATAAACTCAAACGACAACACCGGTAAATGATATCTGTCTATATAAAACCACAGAACAACAACAGTAAATGATATCTGTCTATATAACTCAAAGGACAACACTAGTAAATGATATCTGCCTATATAAACTCAAAGGACAACACCAGTAAATCATATCTGTCTATATAAAACCACAGAACAACACCAGTAAAGGATATCTGTCTATATAAACTCAAACGACAACACCGGTAAATGATATCTGTCTATATAAACCCACAGAACAACACCAGTAAATGATATCTGTCTATATAAAACCACAGAACAACAACAGTAAATGATATCTGTCCATATAAACTCAAAGGACGACACCGGTAAATGATACCTGTCTATATAACCTCAAAGGACAACACCGGTAAATGATGTCTGTCTATATAAACTCAAAGGACAAGACCGGTAAATGATATCTGTCTATATAAACCCACAGAACAACACCAGTAAATGATATCTGTCAATATAAAACCACAGAACAACACCAGTAAATGATATCTGTCAATATAAAACCACAGAACAACACCAGTAAATGATATCTGTCAATATAAAACCACAGAACAACACCAGTAAAGGATATCTGTCTATATAAACTCAAACGACAACACCGGTAAATGATATCTGTCTATATAAACTCAAAGCACAACACCAGTAAATGATATCTGTCAATATAAAACCACAGAACAACACCAGTAAAGGATATCTGTCTATATAAACTCAAACGACAACACCGGTAAATGATATCTGTCTATAAAACTCAAAGGACAACACCGGTAAATGAGATCTGTCTATATAAACTCAAAGGACACCACCAGTAAATGATCCCTGTCTATATAAACTCAAAGGACAACACTAGTAAATGATATCTGCCTATATAAACTCAAAGGACAACACCGGGAAATGATATCTGTCTATATAAACTCAAAGGACAACACCAGTAAATGATATCTGTCTATATAAAACCACAGAACAACACCAGTAAATGATATCTGTCTATATAAACTCAAAGGACAACACAGGTAAATAATATCTGTTTAAAAAACTCAAAGGACAACTCCGGTAAATGATACCTGTCTATATAAACTAAAAGGCCAACACCAGTAAATGATACCTGTCTGTATAAACTCAAAGGACAACACCGGTAACTGATATCTGTCTATATAAACTAAAAGGACAACCCCAGTAAATGATATCTGTCTATATAAACTAAAAGGACAACACCAGTAAATGATATCTGTCTATATGAACTCAAAGGACAACACCGGTAAATGATACCTGTCTATATAAACTCAAAGGACAACACCGGTAAATGATACTTGTCTATATAAACTCAATTGACAACACCAGTAAATGATACCTGTCTATATAAACTCAAAGGACAACACAGGTAAATGATATCTGTCTATAAAACTCAAAGGACAACTCCGGTAAATGATACCTGTCTATATAAACTCAAAGGACAACACCGGTAAATGATCCCTGTCTATATAAACTCAAAGGACAACACCGGTAAATGATCCCTGTCTATATAAACTCAAAGGACAACACCGGTAAATGATCCCTGTCTATATAAACTCAAAGGACAACACCGATAAATGATACCTGTCTATATAAACTCAAAGGACAACACCGGTAAATGATATCTGTCTATATAAACTCATCACAACCAGATCGATGTAATGAAAGCAATAAAGTACACAAACTTATCACACAATTTTCCCCATTTAAAATAGAGTTTGTGAAATACACATGTTTATTATACATTATCAGAAATTATTGATGTGATAAAAACGTATACCTTCATATTGCAGTGAAGTATTACGAAATGTATCTTTACATGTGATATTGATATAATATTGATTTTGTGTTGACCAATCAAGATCGAGTTTTTTGTTTATTCATAAGGCAGAATATACTAACATTTTCACTAGTGTATCGGTATTCTGCCATACTCTACATTGGTATATGGTATACAAGGGCACACTGTTAAGTACCCTCTATACACGGTTATTTATAATTATTGGATCATCTTTTAATCGTTTGTTTAGAGCAACTCCTTAATCCTGTGGTACATAAGTCTACATGTACCTTTTGCACCAAACGGTGGCTTTAGAGTCGGAGGAAGTCCTGGTGGTAACATTTTGTGTGTCAATGCTAAATCTGCAAGATACATGGCTATGCAGAACTCGTCTTCATTGAGGAAGGTGTCCCCATCTACATCAGAGAGCTCCCTGTAATGAAAGTACAGGAGGTCAGTTATATGACATACTAACTTAAGTAATGGTGATTTTTATGCTTAAATTAAAGTTATTAAGATGATAATTGTTAGAGTTCAAACATGTGAGGTTGAAGTTGTATCTAAAGGCCCTACACTATCCAAATATCAAGGTAAATGGTGTATATATTTTTACCTCAGACTTTGAGTATCTGAATAGCTAGGCGAATACATGTATTTTTTAATAATATTTACATTTTGGAGATCAGAGATATTTTAAGATTTACATTTTTAGGAGGAAAATACTTTACAAGAAAGCAAGAAACAGGACTAGATGAACACTAAGACATCCTGTTTTTTTTCAACTTTCTTACATTTGAAATATTTTAATTCAAGTTGACTTTAAAAAGTGTAAGTGTTACTCACCATATTTTGGACAGAGCATCTTCTAACACACCCTTGTCACACAGGAAGGCTTTAACACTGCTCTCTACAGCCAGATCAACAATATTCATTTACAGCCAGATCAACAATATTCATTGGTCTCTAAATTGAACTTGCATTCTGACAAACAGGAAACAATATACATTATGTGGAGCTCAAATGCAAAAACGATTTCTTTTCCATGCAAATTTTCCAAAGTTGTTCCGTTTGTAAAGAAAACCTCAGTTGCATTCAAGACTTGCAGATATGTATATTTTATCACTGAACAATTGAAGCAACTTAAAGAACTGAAATTTGTTCACCTGGTTTTCTGACAAAATATATATGATAAATGATGTATGTTAAGATCTGCAGCATTTTGAATTAGTATTTTATTGTTTCAATTGCAACATGCTAAGGATGTGTAAACTAAAAGACTTGAAATCGATGCAAATAATTGATGTGTATGGGGACCAGCTGTAACTCTACATAAAATGTGTCGACACTAAAGGGATCAGTTTAGGTTGATTTATAACCCTCTTAACCTTGATCATTAGAATAGCGACCATGTGAATGTCATGTATTCAACTATTGAAATTCCAGTGTTAGTTGAATTTCACCAGTAATATAATGATTCCTCTGTTATTCAACTGGAAAATATAGATAGTCCTTCAAATGTTTTTTCTCATGCCTTTTCAGTTGAATTCCAATTGATCATGCTTTACTTTTTAAACAGTGAATTTTACTTAAATACTGAAATATCCTCATACTTCTTAAAATTACATGTTCTATGATATAATTATGCAAAACCACACACTTGTGTTTATTGCGAGGACAAATATATTCATGAGTGAATATATACGTCCGCGCAATAAATGATCTGTGAGTGCTTTCTGATTCGTTAGAAAAACACAAGTGTGTGGTCTTGTTTTATCACATACCTTCCGTATTTGGTAGAGATTGATACGAAGATTATATAAACTTACGGGGATTCCCATAAAAAGTAGTTCCGGCTAGTAGGTAAATACAACATTCCGTATTGCACATGTACAATACAGAACATTGTATTTCATGGTCTGAAAATTAGTTGTATTACTATAACAAGATTCAACAGGTATGTGATAAAAGTGCAGATTCAATTTCTGCACACACTCATTGTATAAAGCTGCTTCGGTGATTTCAAGGGGTGTGATGAATATATTCTATTTTTAGTTACTGCCATTGCTCAGCAGGGGTTATAATTACATTCGACATGAGAATAACAATTTATTTCTCTTCACCTGAGGGTCACAATATCAGTCTGCCGTCCACTTCCAGGGAACACAATGACATGGCAGGTTGACATATTTAAGTTAAAAGGTTAATATAAGAGGCCCAATGGGCCTGTATCGCTCACCTGGTATTAATCTCACACTTGTTATCTTAAAAGTGATCTAAATTACAGCTACAGGCAGAATATCAGTGTTTGATTCATAAGAACTTATTAAAAGATTTAAACATATGATGCCTGTGACCTTGAATGTTGAACAAGGACATTAGGTTGAAAGTGGGTCAAGGTCATTCATTTGAACAAACTTGGTAGTCCTTCATCCCAGCATACTGCAGGCCCAATTTCAGTACCCTGGGCCTTTGGTTCGTTTGAAGATTTTAACATATTTGACCCCTGTGAACTTGAAATTGGGTCAAGGTCATTCATTTGAACAAACTTGGTATCCCTTCATCCCATCATGCAACAGGCCCAATATCAGTACCATGGGCCTTTTGATTATTAATCAGAAGTTGTTTGAAGAGTTTACATTTGATCCCTGTGACCATGAAAGTGGGTCAAGGTCATTCATTTGAACAATTTTGGTAGTCCTTCATCTCAGCATGCTACTGGCCAAATATCATCAGCCTGGGCCTTTTGGTTAGTGAGAAGAAGTTGTTTAAAGAGTTTACGACATTTGATCCCTGTGACCTTGAAAGTGAGTCAAGGCCATTCATTTGAACAAACTTGGTAGCCCTTCATCGCAGCATGCTACTGGCCAAATATCATCAGCCTGGGCCTCTTGGTTATTGAGAAGAAGTTGTTTGAAGATTTGAACACATTTGACCCATGTGACCTTGAAAGTGGGTCAAGGCCATTCATTTGAACAAACTTGGTAGCCCTTCATCGCAGCATGCTACTGGCCAAATATCATCAGCCTGGGCCTCCTAGTTATTGAGAAGAAGTTGTTTGAAGATTTCAAGACATTTTACCCCTGTGACCTTGAGAGTTGGTCAAGGTCATTCATTTGAACAAATTTGGTAGCCATTCATCTCATCATGCAACAGGCCCAATTCCAGTACCCTGGGCCTTTTGGTTATTAATCAGAAGTTGTTTGAAGAGTTTACATTTGATCCCTGTGACCATGAAAGTGGGTCAAGGTCATTAATTTGAACAAACTTGGTAGTCCTTCATCCCAGCATACTACAGGCCCAATATCAGTACCCTGGGCCTTTTGATTATTGATAAGAAGTTGTTTGAAGAGTTTACGACATTTGATCCCTGTGACCTTGAAAGTGGGTCAAGGCCATTCATTTGAACAATTTTGGTAGCCCTTCATCGCAGCATGCTACTGGCCAAATATCATCAGCCTGGGCCTTTTGGTTAGTGAGAAGAAGTTGTTTGAAGAGTTTACGACATTTGATCCCCGTGACCTTGAAAGTGGGTCAAGGCCATTCATTTGAACAAACTTGGTAGCCCTTCATCGCAGCATGCTACTGGCCAAATATCATCAGCCTGGGCCTCATGGTTATTGAGAAGAAGTTGTTTGAAGATTTGAACACATTTGACCCATGTGACCTTGAAAGTGGGTCAAGGTCATTCATTTGAACAAACTTGGTAGCCCTTCATTGCAGCATGCTACTGGCCAAATATTATCAGCCTCGGCCTCTTGGCTATTCATAAGAAGTTGTTTAAAGTAAAAATTTGATGCCGGACGACGGACAGACGACGGACGCCGCACCATGCAATAAGCTCACTTGGCCCTTCGGGCTAAAAATGTAATATGTACTGGCTAATAATTTTCTCTGCAAGTGTCGAAAAAGGTTTCTTAGCATTGATTTTAAGGATGTACACCTCTGAGAAGTCAAAAATTTCCTGTATTAAACTTTTTTTCTTATATGGTTTTTTGGAAAAAGGAGTTAATGGCATAGTAGAAAATGCCAAAAAAAACATATGTCCGTGTGCTCGTTTTTGTGCTATGATCGGTCAAAGATACCAATTTACCACATCAAGTGATTTTAGGTGATTTTTTGGGTTTTGACCATTTGCAGAACAAATTCATACAATTTCTTCCAAGTGTGTTATCAGATATGTATAAATGTTTGTAGCTTTGTTGAAAATATTATTTTCTTTTAAATTATGGAAGTAAAATTTCTTAATCTTATTGTTTTAACTCAAAAAGCCGTTTTAAGTTACCCCTACCCCCTATTTTTTAATGATAAAATACTCGTTTTTTACCATTTTTTTACAGATTAAACGCTTTTTATAAAAAGTTCTGGTATTTAACTTTTTTTAATATTTAATGAACTAAATGAAAACGTGTTTCTCTTTCTAAAACATCTACAAAAATGGGGGGTCAGTGTGCTTCTTTTTTTGTCCCATTATCATTTGTGTTATTTTTTACTTTTTTCGGGGTCAAAAATCGAAAGTGCTTCAGTCACACTAAATACGTAAAACAAATATCAATAATGTATAATTTTCCAGTTTGTTGCATATTATTTTTATCATATTGAACATCATAAAGTTGTACAGCAAAAATGAACCTGCTACAATTAAAAATGGCGACACAATGACAATTTAAGTGATCAATCTAGTGCCAAAAAAGGTGAAATATTGACCCTTTTTTAAGCACAAGAAATACACATTAATACACATTTTCAAAATGGCCGCCGAATTGGTAATTTTTTAAAGTTCTTGTTAAAAAAGTTCTACAAACAACAGGCATCTAGTTTTTTGACATATTTTTCAGATACGTGTTTGCTAATAAACTTGATCATAAGTTGTTAAATATTACAAAAACCCATTACACCAGATCAAAACGAGACTTGAACGTGATTGAAACCTCAGAAGAGTACATCCTTAAGGTAATGTCAGTTGCAGGTTAACTTCATCAAAGGTCATTCCATAGTTTTACCTGAATAATCGCAATGATCTGCTGGGTTTCATAACTTACTTCAGAGGCTTATGTGTACATATCTCATTGAATTAGTTATCATAAGTACATCTTTTATGTCGGTCTTCAAACCAGAAAGTTCTTGTCTTGAAAAACTTAAGTAAACTGATTACCTGTTAGAAGGCCAATGGACAAGCTCTCTGAGTCCAGACGGCGGAAAGTCTCTCGATATTCCTCTAGTTTCACCTCCCCAATGAAATGTCTATATAAAAGAAATACTAAAGTCACTTTTAAAACATCTAGATTTTTTTTTTTTTTTAAAGCGTTTAGTTGCTAAGTTGATGTATCAATAGTTGAATGGGCTAAAGTTATACATTGTCAAGGCAGTCAGCAGCCCTAATAGACAGGATTTCCTAGAATACAGATCATTATCCTATCCATAACTTCATATATTTCATAACATTTTATGAAACCAGTTTTATCAACTTAATCAAACACTCCTGGAGGTCTTTATGTGGGAGGGAACCGGAGTTACACAGAGAAACCCACATGGTCAGGGAGGTAACCCAATACCTTTCAATGTCTGACCAGGGAATGATTTATTCTACATACAGATCCTATCTATAGACAGGTGGTAGCCTAGGTGGTATAGACAGCTGGTATCTATACAGTACCTGTAGGGTGGTCGGGTGGTGCAGTGGATAGCTAGCGCACTTTCCTTTCACCAAGGCGTCCAGGGTTTAATTCCTCGATCGAATGTGAAAAGGTATCGGGTCACCTGCCCTATCACCTGGGTTTTCTCCGGGTACTCCGGTTTCCTCCCACATTAAGACCACCCATGCACTAACATAAAGGCCAGCAAAAGTGATTAATATAGAATGAATAAAGTTTATATACAGTACCTTTGTACTTTTTCAGAACAGTCCATACAAAGAAGCTCATCTTCAGTGTTTCCTTCCACAAGTGGTGCCTTTGGGTGATGACTACATACAGGCCTGTGGTATAGTGACAAACAAATGTACAATGTAATAACATAACAGTTGTCGCCTTTGGGTGAAGACCACATACAGGACTGTGGTGTAGTGACAAACAAATGTACAATGTAATGTCATAACAGTTGTCACCTTTGGGTGATGACTACATACAGGACTGTGGTGTAGTGACAAACAAATGTACAATGTAATGACATACAAATGTACAATGTAATGACATAAAAGTTGTCACCTTTGGGTGAAGACTACATACAGGCCTGTGGTGTAGTGACAAACAAATGTACAATGTAATGACATAAAAGTTGTCACCTTTGGGTGAAGACTACATACAGGACTGTGGTGTAGTGACAAACAAATGTACAATGTAATGACATAAAAGTTGTCACCTTTGGGTGAAGACTACATACAGGACTGTGGTGTAGTGACAAACAAATGTACAATGTAATGACATAAAAGTTGTCACCTTTGGGTGAAGACTACATACAGGACTGTGGTGTAGTGACAAACAAATGTACAATGTAATGACATAAAAGTTGTCACCTTTGGGTGAAGACTACATACAGGACTGTGGTGTAGTGACAAACAAATGTACAATGTAATGACATAAAAGTTGTCACCTTTGGGTGAAGACTACATACAGGACTGTGGTGTAGTGACAAACAAATGTACAATGTAATGACATAAAAGTTGTCACCTTTGGGTGAAGACTACATACAGGACTGTGGTGTAGTGACAAACAAATGTACAATGTAATGACATAAAAGTTGTCACCTTTGGGTGAAGACTACATACAGGACTGTGGTGTAGTGACAAACAAATGTACAATGTAATGACATAAAAGTTGTCACCTTTGGGTGAAGACTACATACAGGACTGTGGTGTAGTGACAAACAAATGTACAATGTAATGACATAAAAGTTGTCACCTTTGGGTGAAGACTACATACAGGACTGTGGTGTAGTGACAAACAAATGTACAATGTAATGACATAAAAGTTGTCACCTTTGGGTGAAGACTACATACAGGACTGTGGTGTAGTGACAAACAAATGTACAATGTAATGACATAAAAGTTGTCACCTTTGGGTGAAGACTACATACAGGACTGTGGTGTAGTGACAAACAAATGTACAATGTAATGACATAAAAGTTGTCACCTTTGGGTGAAGACTACATACAGGACTGTGGTGTAGTGACAAACAAATGTACAATGTAATGACATAAAAGTTGTCACCTTTGGGTGAAGACTACATACAGGACTGTGGTGTAGTGACAAACAAATGTACAATGTAATGACATAAAAGTTGTCACCTTTGGGTGAAGACTACATACAGGACTGTGGTGTAGTGACAAACAAATGTACAATGTAATGACATAAAAGTTGTCACCTTTGGGTGAAGACTACATACAGGACTGTGGTGTAGTGACAAACAAATGTACAATGTAATGACATAAAAGTTGTCACCTTTGGGTGAAGACTACATACAGGACTGTGGTGTAGTGACAAACAAATGTACAATGTAATGACATAAAAGTTGTCACCTTTGGGTGAAGACTACATACAGGACTGTGGTGTAGTGACAAACAAATGTACAATGTAATGACATAAAAGTTGTCACCTTTGGGTGAAGACTACATACAGGACTGTGGTGTAGTGACAAACAAATGTACAATGTAATGACATAAAAGTTGTCACCTTTGGGTGAAGACTACATACAGGACTGTGGTGTAGTGACAAACAAATGTACAATGTAATGACATAAAAGTTGTCACCTTTGGGTGAAGACTACATACAGGACTGTGGTGTAGTGACAAACAAATGTACAATGTAATGACATAAAAGTTGTCACCTTTGGGTGAAGACTACATACAGGACTGTGGTGTAGTGACAAACAAATGTACAATGTAATGACATAAAAGTTGTCACCTTTGGGTGAAGACTACATACAGGACTGTGGTGTAGTGACAAACAAATGTACAATGTAATGACATAAAAGTTGTCACCTTTGGGTGAAGACTACATACAGGACTGTGGTGTAGTGACAAACAAATGTACAATGTAATGACATAAAAGTTGTCACCTTTGGGTGAAGACTACATACAGGACTGTGGTGTAGTGACAAACAAATGTACAATGTAATGACATAAAAGTTGTCACCTTTGGGTGAAGACTACATACAGGACTGTGGTGTAGTGACAAACAAATGTACAATGTAATGACATAAAAGTTGTCACCTTTGGGTGAAGACTACATACAGGACTGTGGTGTAGTGACAAACAAATGTACAATGTAATGACATAAAAGTTGTCACCTTTGGGTGAAGACTACATACAGGACTGTGGTGTAGTGACAAACAAATGTACAATGTAATGACATAAAAGTTGTCACCTTTGGGTGAAGACTACATACAGGACTGTGGTGTAGTGACAAACAAATGTACAATGTAATGACATAAAAGTTGTCACCTTTGGGTGAAGACTACATACAGGACTGTGGTGTAGTGACAAACAAATGTACAATGTAATGACATAAAAGTTGTCACCTTTGGGTGAAGACTACATACAGGACTGTGGTGTAGTGACAAACAAATGTACAATGTAATGACATAAAAGTTGTCACCTTTGGGTGAAGACTACATACAGGACTGTGGTGTAGTGACAAACAAATGTACAATGTAATGACATAAAAGTTGTCACCTTTGGGTGAAGACTACATACAGGACTGTGGTGTAGTGACAAACAAATGTACAATGTAATGACATAAAAGTTGTCGCCTTTGGGTGAAGACTACATACAGGCCTGTGGTGTAGTGACAAACAAATGTACAATGTAATGACATAAAAGTTGTCACCTTTGGGTGAAGACTACATACAGGACTGGTGTAGTGACAAACAAATGTACAATGTAATGACATAAAAGTTGTCTCCTTTGGGTGAAGACTACATACAGGACTGGTGTAGTGACAAACAAATGTACAATGTAATGACATAAAAGTTGTCGCCTTTGGATGAAGACTACACACAGGACTGTGGTGTAGTGACAAACAAATGTACAATTTAATATCATAAAGGTTGTCTCCTTTGGGTGAAGACTACATACAGGGCTGGTGTAGTGACAAACAAATGTACAATGTAATATCATAAAAGTTGTCGCCTTTGGGTGATGACTACATACAGGCCTGTGGCGTAGTGACAAACAAATGGACAATGTAATATCATAAAAGTTGTCACCTTTGGGTGAGGACTACATAAAGGACTGGGGGAGTGACAAACAAATGTACAATGCAATGAAATAAAAGTTGTCACCTTTTGGTGACGACTACATACATGACTGGTGTAGTGACAAACAAATTGGTGTAATGACAAACAAATGTACAATGTAATGACATAAAAGTTGTCACCTTTGGGTGACGACTACATACAGGACTGGTGTAGTGACAAACAAATGTACAATATAATATCATAAAAGTTGTCACCTTTGGGTGATGACTACATACAGGCCTGTGGTGTAGTGACAAACGAATGTACAATGTAATGACATAAAAGTTGTCACCTTTGGGTGACGACTACATACAGGACTGGTGTAGTGACAAACAAATGTACAATGTAATATCATAACAGTTGTAACCTTTAGGTGAAGACCACATACAGGACTGTGGTGTAGTGACAAACAAATGTCCAATGTAATGACATAAAAGTTGTCACCTTTGGGTGACGACTACATACAGGACTGGTGTAGTGACAAACAAATGTACAATGCAATATCATAACAGTTGTAACCTTTAGGTGAAGACCACATACAGGGCTGTGGTGTAGTGACAAACAAATGTACAATGTAATGAAATAAAAGTTGTCACCTTTGGGTGATGACTACATACAGGCCTGTGGTGTAGTGACAAACAAATGTACAATGTAATGACATTACAGTTGTCGAAGTAATTTTTTAACAAAATGGATCTTTAAAAGTTTGTTTTTTTAAGGTTTCGCTCATTTGACCAGTGACCATGAAAGCAGGTCATGTTCATTTTATCAGTCAGACTTGATAGTCCTTCAACCTAGCTTAATACAGGCCAAACCCTTAAAGAATGTTATCACTGAAAAGATTCATTTATTAGCATGACATATAAGGTATATATGCAGGTTTCGTCGAGTCACTGCTATGTAAAACAATATTCTTACCCAGACAGTTTTGCTGACATTCTGCCAGCTTGGTAACCAGTGACGTGAGCGCAGTGGTGAACAAGGGGAACTAACTCTCACATCCCTAACATCACCATCGAGCAAGCTGGCAGAATGTCAGTGAAACTGTCTGGGTAGGAACATTGTTCTTGCAAATAAACCTTATAGGATGTTGTTAAAAGGTTTTGACGTGACCTTTTTGACCTTGAAAGTGGATCAGGGTTATTCGTTTGGAAGAAATTAGATTTCTCCTCTTCAGCAAGATACAGGCTAAGTATCAATATTATATGGCTTATTGTTCCTACAAAGAAATTATATAAAGTAGAAATATAATGCCATGATAGGCACTTGCATGTAGTTTCAAAAACAAATTGTCAAGTGAACCACAATAAAGATCTGTAGAAGTGCTACACTTGTTATACACTTCGTCACAACTAGTGATGGGCTGATGATCGATTATAATCAAAAATCGATCAGTTTACCCTTTCCCATTCCGATTATCGATTACAAATTCCATTATCGATGTAATCAGATCTTTATCAAAATTTAAGTGTAAAATGTTTTCAGTGTGAAAAATGTATTGAAAGTCATATATTCTTATGATTTTTACTACCGGTATATGATTGATAAAACTGCATAAAAATTGCTTGAAATCCATTCATTATATAAGAACAAAACACAGTGTATAGTTAACAACTCTGTGTATTGAGTGCTAGTCACAACTATAGTTGCGCTGTATGTCTGTGGCCACCACTGCTAGTCACAACTATAGTTGCACATTCTATAAAATGGTATTTTATATGGTCAACTGCTAATCTTGTTGATTAAAATTTAATTAAACATATCAAATAACCAATTTCCATTGGTATTAATATGTTTTAATATTAACACAAGTATTATTTTTGAAATATTTTTACTAAAATTGCGACTTATGAAGTTATATCTCAATTTGAACTGCTGTGAAAATTAAATTTTCCTAATTAATTCAGCACTGATTGGTTACCGTATGTTATTTTAATGTAGCACTCTAAGGGTTAAGGAAGTGTTTTCACTTTATTTTGGTATACAGTCCCATGAAATTATGAACCAATTATGCAATCGATCGTTGATCGGTTTACTACTTCCGATTACAAACCAATTATGGATTATGATTTTAAACTGATTGCCCATCACTAGTCACAACCCAAGTTTATTGGTGTTCTGTTACATTTCCCCTTGGTTCATGATGCACATTTGTAACAGGAGAGAGAGAAACTGTAGTGGCCAGACAGGGGTTTGAACCCTGGACCCTCTTGAGCTCTAGACGGACGCTCTACCAATTGAGGTTAGTAACCTGGTCACTGACAATCGATCCAGTCCAGTTCCACTACATTCCTCCCTCCTTTTTCGAACTCTTTACCCCTCACAACTATTTATAACCAAGTTCTGGGCCTGTATTCATGAAACCATTCTCATGCTCAAGCATGGATTTTGTGCTCCAACCAACTTTATTTAACTTACTGACAAAACATCAAAGCATCAAATATACTCATTGAAAACAGTATTTGGCTTAAGGTATTTTCTTTTTTTTCCAAATCATTGACAAAATCAGATTATATTATTAATTTATAAAGGAAACAAAAAAATAGGCTTGAATACAAAATCCATGCTTGAGCATGAGAACGGCTTCATGAAAAAGGGTCTGGACATCCCCTTGCTAAGCGTACTCCAAATGCTTGAAACAAGAGTTGGCAAGCTCGCCAATTTTGTAACAGGAGAAAGCGAAAATGTAAAAGCCAGACTAGGGTTCAAACCCGGGACTCTCCAACTCTAGACTGTCCGGCCATGATAGATCTAGACCTATGTGTGAAGTTTCATTTTGAAAAATTCAATAATTTAGAAGATTAATCTGAAAAGTTTAATTAAATGATTTGACCTTTGACCCTTTCTCTTGATCTTGAATTTCAGAGTATAGAATTTTGAAGCATGCCACAGGCAAACGATGTGACAACTGATATATATATAGAAGTACCCATCCACTCTTAATTCATAGTGATAAAGTAATATGTTGACATACTTAATTTACTTACAGATATGAAGATGTATTGGGATGGATTAAAACAGGTTTGCAGTACAGTGGCTGTCTGCTAGAGCTGTAGTAGATGGGATTACTATGGTAGTAATCCACCAGTGTGTCAATGTTACGGAACCTTTCAGCAGTGTCCTCCCCTCCCTGTAGACAGTGGAACCCGTGCTTGTGTATAATCTTGAAAGGAACAGTCGACTCTTTTGTTCTAGAAAGTAACACAGTAAACAAGATGTTAAATTGTTAACAAGCAAATCTTACCAGGAATATTAAACCTACAATCAGAGACTGTAAGATCACACTTCTTAAATTAAAAAGGTGCATGAGGCCTGTTCACTAACTGCAAACATGTGTCTGTATAACACAAGAAATCGGAAGTTACAAACCCTCCTTTTAAGCAATAATGGGTTCCATTGGGCCAAGATTGTGCCACGTACATCAAATGTGGTAAACATCCATTCATCCATATGGAATGGACGGAGAACAGATTTTAAAATTTCCATCTTCTTTCTATATGAGGTCCTGCCCCTCTTCCTCAAGAGGGTCCACAACTTTCATTTATACAACAATGATTCCCCTTAGCAAAATTAAGGATGCTTAAGATCATATTCAATAAAAAGATCCCTTCACAATTCATGTCCACTTGTATTTAAGTAATTATCTTTAACAAGAGGCCCAATGGGCCTGAATCGCTCACCTGGTATTAATCTCAAACTAACTAAGTAAAAGTGGACTTAAATACAGCTACAGACAAAATACCAGTGTTTGATTCAAAAGAATCTATTAAAAGATGTAAACATATGACATATGTGACCTTGAAATTCTATAAAGGACATTAAGTTGAACAGACTTTTTATAGCCTTTTCATCCCAGCATGCTTCTGGCAAAATGTCATTACCCTGGACCTTTAAGTTATTCAGAAATTGTTTAAAGACTTCACCATATTTGACCCCTGTGACCTTGAAAACGGGTGATGGTCATTCATTTTAACAAACTTGCATTGGTAGCCCTTCATCCCAGCATGTTACTGGCCAACTATCATCACCTAATTTAAGGCCTCTTGGTTATTTAGAAGAAGCTGTTTAAAGGTTTTAAACATATTTGACCCCTGTGTCTTTGAATATAAGTGAAGGTCATTTATTTGAACAAACTTGGTAGCCCTTCATCCCAGCATGCTACTGGCTAAATATCATCATCATGGGCGTTTTAGTTATTCAGAACAAGTTGTTTAAATTTTTCACATATTTGACCTCTGTGACCTTGAATATGGGTGAAGGTCATTTTTTAACAACTTTGGTAGCCCGTCATCCCAGTTTGCTTCTGGCCAAATATCATCATCCTAGGCCTTTTAGTTTTTAAGAAGAAGTTGTTTAAAGTAAAATATTGACACCGGACGACTAACAAACGTACAGATGCCGGACGCTGCGCCTTGGCATATGCTCACTTTGCCCTTTGGGCCAGGTGAGCTAAAACTTGTTCACAGTTTTTGTGTAAAATGGAGGCAAAATCTTTGATACACAACTGACCTTATAACGAGAGCACAGCATCCAGGTGTGTCCATCGAGTAGCGAACAATGAAGCTATGGTAAGGGACGGCCATGTGAAGCAGCACTATAGCGGAGGTCGGTGAAATGTTAGGATAGAACCAGCTGTACACAAAAACATTATCATTTTACAATTTAGCAACCAGGGCCCAGTTGTTCAACAATATCGTTAAACCATGGTTAGCAGGTCGTTAACATTTAACAATATCGTAAGCTTAACGACAGTAATAACTGGAGAGGCAGAGAAAGGTACAAATGAACAAAAGAAACTACATATAATGAAATTACTGCATTAAGTCTGGAATAGTGTTAAAAAAACAAGAGGCCCAAAGGGCCTATATCGCTCACCTGTATATGTTTAAAGTACTTGTTATGAGGTAAAGATACAGCACTCCATGGTAGGTACTGTATGTACATATGAAATTTCAGAAAGATCCATCCTGTATTTCTGGAGATGTAGCGAGAACAAACTTCAGATGTCAAAATCCAAGATGAAGGCCCGGTGGCCATCTTGTATAAATGAATACACCCTTATAGTAACAGGCACTACTAGACAACTTGATGGAGGCAAAATTGGGATTACATATCTTTATCCCCATGGTAGAAGGAGGATTTCAAAGGTTTTACCTCTATTTCCCATATTGGGCCCCGCCCCTCTCCCCCCAGGGGGGCTACACCCACCGTTTATACAAAATTGAGTCCCCTTGGCCTAAGGATCCTCCAGCCCAAATCGGGATGAAATCCCTTAATCCCCATGGTACAAGAAGGATTTTAAAGGTTTAACCTCTATTTCCCCTATTGGGCCCTGGTCCTTTGCCCCAAGGGGGGGGGGGGGGNTCCCACTGTTTATGTAAAATTGAGTCCCCTTGGCCCTCAGGATGCTCCAGACTAATTCAGGATGAAATCCCTTATTCCCTACAGTAGAAAAAGGATTTTAAAGTTTTGACCTCTATTTCTCCTATTGGGCCCCGCTCTCCTGCCCCCAGGGGGACCACATCCAACGTTTATACAAAATTGAATGCCCTTGGCCCAAGGATGTTCCAGCCCAAATTTAGTTAAAATCCACTTAGCAGTTCAGGACAAGTAGTGTTTTAAAGGAAAAAGTTAGCTAAAACTGAAATGAGTGGAAGTCGTGCAGATGTAACCTTCCCTCCCTTCCCACAAATGTAACTTTGACCCTATTAACCTAAACCAATGACCACCAAAATGTTATCAAGTGTAGAACTACATGTTTAAATACAAACATGAATTCAATATGTTGAGGGTTTTATATCATGTACACAAGCTTTGTAATTCAGAAGTGGTCAAGTGTGATCTTTGACCCTTTAGCCTTAACCAATGATGAACTAAATCTAATAAGGAATAGAACCTGATGTTACATTATCGTACCAAACTAGTGTACGTGTAAATTATAACAACATTATATTTGTTGAGGAATTCATTAGATTTCTTGTACACATATAGTTTTTTACTTCAAAATATGGTAAAGTTTGACCTTTGACCTTTAACATTGATTGATGACCATGCAGCAAGATGATCTGTAGAACCTAATGTTATACCATGATGTGGAGAGAAACTATTTGGTGTTTCCTTGTACACATTAAGCATTTTACGATGGACACATTGATACAACTTTCCTTTACTAAGTTGGAGTATCATTGTTGTACCTTATTTCATTAAACCTATAAAAGTTGAGTACTTACCTTTTAGTTGATGGGATGTTGACAGGAATAGGGTATTTCAGCCTCAGGTTACCAGCAGGTAGATCCGGTAAGGGGTAGGTCATATAATGTTTGATCAAACTGCCCAGCTGCTGAAACGCTATGCCACTCCTCTTCACACTGTACATGTTTGTAGACGAGATGTCAATCCGCAGGTGATAGGTGTTTTGTCCATAGCTACAAAGTTATAACAGTTGATAAATGAACAATCATTTAACAAGAAACTGAACAAAGCATTAGTCCTTCCTGCAAAGACATTAAGTAACAATATACAGAGACTCATTTCATAGAAAAAAACACAAATGTAACCAGTGGCTCATAACAGAGCACCACAAACGGATGAATAATACACCCGTCTGACCCTATCCAATGATTTTTTGTTTGTTTGATATTTAAAGTACCTAATAAGGACAATAACACATGATCTGACTGAACTGTACACCACTGTAGAAACCAAAACTTTAACCGAGAAATTGTGCGAGAAAAGTTAAGTTAAGTTACGTTACGCACAAGATCAAATATCTACTTTAGCTTTGACGGGAAGAAAAATGCTGTATAATGAAAAGGGGCACAAAAATTCAGTCCTTAACAATTTCAAACACTCCCCCTCATAGCTGTCACCCCTCCCTCATTAGGAGGGAGACTCCCTCATTTTGACCAAATTTACCAATATCCCTCAAAACTCACTTATTCAAGTCCAAACTGACATAAACTTAAAATGGACATCCTGTGGTCAAATGATCTCCTAGTTACTGCAGGGTGTGTGTTCTCATAACAGGTGTGTCTGAACCAAATGATCTCCTAGTTACTGCAGGGAGTGTGTGATGATCATAACAGGTGTGTCTGAATCAAATGATCTCCTAGTTACTGCAGGGAGTGTGATGATAATAACAGGTGTGTCTGAGTCAAATGATCTCCTAGTTACTGCAGGGGGAGTGTGATGATCATAACAGGTGTGTCTGAGTCAAATGATCTCCTAGTTACTGCAGGGAGTGTGATGATAATAACAGGTGTGTCTGAGTCAAATGATCTCCTAGTTACTGCAGGGGGAGTGTGATGATCATAACAGGTGTGTCTGAGTCAAATGATCTCCTAGTTACTGCAGGGAGTGTGATGATAATAACAGGTGTGTCTGAGTCAAATGATCTCCTAGTTACTGCAGGGGGAGTGTGATGATCATAACAGGTGTGTCTGAGTCAAATGATCTCCTAGTTACTGCAGGGTGTGTGTAATGATCATAACAGGTGTGTCTGAGTCAAATTATCTCCTAGTTACTGCAGGGGGAGTGTAATGATCATAACAGGTGTGTCTGAATCAAATGATCTCCTAGTTACTGCAGGGGGAGTGTAATGATCATAACAGGTGTGTCTGAGTCAAATGATCTCCTAGTTACTGCAGGG